CTGCGAGCACACTCTGAATAAAGACGGAGCTGATTCAGTCCCATTCTTCAACTTCACCTTAAATCAGCAGCTAGATTTATGAAAGTTGGACACAAGTGAGTGTTCCAACAGGACGTCGATACCAGCTCTGGTTAAAAGTTTGCAAACTGTGTTTGAAAGCTAAATCCAAGGTGGCGAACCAACCAGTCTGAACCCAGTGCTACCGTTTTAGATAACACCAAACAGAATCGTAACAGAAGCTTGTTGATGGCTACCAGAAATGTTGTTGACACTAAGGAACATTGAAGTTTATAAAATTGGCACAATAAATCAAATTTCCTGCTTTTACCAACTCAGTCTGAGCTTTACCACAACCGAACGTCCGTCTTTGACGGATGTGGCTGTTCTAAAAGCTTTGGACGTAATGTTATGGATCAGACTTAATAAGAAAGCTTTACGTCAAGACCCTTGTTAAAAATAAACCTGCAGACCAACTACATGCATAACAGAATGCACAACACAAGAAATATCCAGCTCAAAAAAATACTAGTCCAGGCAATACTTTGCAATGTAAATGAGAGGGAGACCGTGACTGGTACCCAGCGGGGTTAGAGACTTGACAATCTAATCCTTTCTCAATCAGTTGTATATTCTATCCCTAAACAATGCAAACGTATATAGGCAACAACAATATTTAGTCTGGATGCTGCGGCTCAGTCAATGAGGACCAAACCGAGCAGTTTTCAGTGTCATTAGTTATGTTTCCACCAACCATAAATTTGTGCAATTTGAATTTTACAAAATGAAATCTCGCTTAATGGAAACAGCAATTTAAAAAGAAAAAACTCACTTTTCAATAAGTTTCTATCTTGGTGGTTTTTAAGCTACATCAAAATTAGTGCATTTCCCCCATGAAATGATCAACAACTGCAGGGTTTCCCCCAGTGTATTATAAGTCTGGTGGGTCACCAGGCTTTACTTGTGCCCACCAGGCTAAACATTTCTTCTTTTTTTTTTAAGTCTTTTTAAAATGTTTGCATGTTTTAACACTTTATATGGTTCGTGTTCAGGTATCAATCTTCAAACTTTCAAAAACAGATAATTATCAAGTGATATTTTCAAATTTTCTGCCAACTTTAAACAGTTTTAACTCAGAAACACGACAGGCCGCCCTCGCACTCAACCACAGGGATTATTAGCAAGTTTTCTGGGGGGAAACCTTGAAGTGGATGTCACCGGCGGAAAAGACGAAGACGACGAAAGGAAGCGGCAGGAGGACGACGGAGCCGCATGTTTTTGAATGACTTATCTTGTGAGCAAACTTATTCAGCTGTGATTTTAATCGCGTTTCTTGTTGAACGGAAACGCCGCAATTGCGTTTTTCCGACATTAGCGGAACATCCACAAAAGTTTTGTGCGCCATGTTTGATACGAGTGGCAACCCTACCATCCTCAAGCGGTCTAAGTTTATTATACCGAAATCCCAGAATCTCAGCTCAGCGTAGAAGACAGGGCACTGTAGTAGAGCTGCAAAATATTCAAAAATAAAGCAACGGCAACGTTGCTTTTAAACACTGTAATGACAATATCAGTTGCGATAAATCCTCGGTTTGCTCATGTCTGTCTTTCTAAGCTGCAATTAGGATGCTGCAGCCATTCTGTGACTGTCAGCACTTGGGCACTATCACATGTTGCAGGGGTGGACGTCTAGTGTAGTGAGACTCCATCTGATAGGCTGAGTGTTAATATGCATGCGAGATGTGAATTCCTGACACACGACACGCTAGTTGATGCAACTTGATGCAAGCAACTGGATGTCCAGAGACCAGGAACTTCTTACCAAAATGCATTACAAATACTAAATATAGTACTAATGTAGTACTGCTGCGTGATAGTATGCAAAAAAAAAATGTTGTGGACCTTCAAGAAACAGTTACTTGATTGATTAATCGGATGAAAGAAAATTGGCCCATTCTGCAGATTTTTAATGTAACAAATTGTCTTTTTTATGTTAGAAATACATTGAGATGCAAATAAATCAATATATTAAATTTTTAAGTAAGAAAATTAACCTTTTTCTGCCTAAAATGTAATAGAATAGGATTTCTTTAGTGAACATTTGATTATTTGTAACAGATGAAGCATCTGCAGCTAAAACCAGATTTTTAACATCAACATGTGAAAAGCTCAGGCCTTTCCGTGTGACTTATCAATACAGTGTAGGGCCGATCTGTTGATGTTTTCAGCGATGAGAATAAAAATTGGACAGCAAAAGGGGCTTAATATGAGATTTACATTTTCTCTTTTTACAGAATTTGAACCAGGTGTAAGTAACATTATGCTACTTGAGGAGTCCCATGTAGTTTTTGTTTTATCTTAATTGGAAAATGTATACATTTTTTGGAAAGTTCAGAGAATGAACAACTCTGAGCGTGTTGTTCATTCAACAAATTGTCTTTTTTTTAAGTCTATATAGTCCAGTGAACGACTAATCGATTACTAAATTAGTTGACCATTTCAATAATCAATTCATCACCTGTAATCCTATTAATTGTTTCAGATCTTGTTTGTTGTGAATCTGCGCTATATAAATAACCTGATTTGAATAGATTTTCCGGATGACATCTGCAGGCATCTCCTCTGATGCAACTTTACAGCATTTTTGTAAATTATGCACAAAACAAGCAATTCTACACTAGAATTCTTGCCCTAGTTTCTGCAGGAAAACCCTCTGCACTCGTAATTTTACTCCTCCAAGAATAACACTTGATAGACGACGCGTATGCACATCCTCCAGGGCACTGGGTTCCAAACAGCACAACATGCTCTTTGGAAAAACCCTGAATATTATCTATATGAGAGGAACAGCAACAAAGCAGCAGAGACTCCGCCACACCAAATCACATGCAAATGCAACAACAACATCCAGCTCATAACCAACAGATTTTAAAGCCTCTTTTAAACAGAGGAGGGTTCGAGCTACCAGCAGGTGGAAAAAAATGATTCGAGAACAGGGCCGAGGTGATAAAATGTCTGTTGTTTCAGAACCTGAATGGTAAAACCCAGAGGAGACACAAAAGGTGGCAGCGCTCACAGGAGAGCGCAGATGTGCTGAGAGGCAAGGGAGGAGGGAACACCTGTGTTGACGTGTCTGGAAACCTCCAGTGGAGCGTGTTTCCTTCTGCCAACAACGCCACACCTTCCAGCATCGCAGCAGACCTGAACGACCGGGTGACAAACGCTTTCCTGGCTTAAGCTTTAAAGGCTCCTACATACTTCAACCGAAGACGGGCAGTTGTTGGTATTCGCACATCCCTTTCTTACAACAGCGTAGACCACCTGGGAGACACCCCTTCTACCAAATACTCTTGGGGGTTCCCACTTACTCCCTCACAAACCCTTCACAGAGCCAGCGCCACACGTCCGCCTCCTCCGTGAGCAATGCCGTGACAGCTTCCATCGAGGAATTATTAACCGTTCAACCGTCCTATTACTGGGGCCAGGATCTACATGCTAAATGGACTAAATCAATGCTAGTCATCAGCTAATCACTCAACATGCTAGAGACTGCACTCAGTTACTAGTCATTTGCCTATTCTTTTTTGTTGTTTTACATATTAGCTATGTGTAGTATGGTGGATGGAGAAAGTGAATGTACGTTCATATGTTTGTGATGTCCAACACGCTTCTGACATCATGTAAGCCACATGTGTCAAACTCAAGGCCCGGGGGCCAAATCCGGCCCGCCGTAGCTTTTTATGTGGCCCTCTACAGTGTAGCCTGAACACTAAGTGTGATTAAATATATTATCAATCACATCAATGCAGTTTTTATCTGTTTACTGCCAATTTATATCAATCCCTCCAGTTTCTTGAGAATTTAATTGATGTATAATTATAGTCCATGATTTATACAGCGAGTAAATAAAAAGTCGCATTTATTATTAGTCCCTGAAGGGACTGAAAAGATGTTCAAAAATATTATGTAATTTTAAGAATTTATTGACATATTAACAGTTTGTGAACAGGTTTTATCAACACGTTCTGGCACAACTGGCCCTTTAAAAGCCTTCATGATCTTGATTTGGCCCAAAACGAAAAGGAGTTTGACACACCTGATTTAAGCTAACAATGCTAACATTAGACTTTCATTTTACCTTCTACATTAATGTTTGTGTACTGAATGGATCAAGTCAGTGTTAATCAACATGCTGGTGTCAACATCCTACCGGTTGTGCCAACATGCCAGTGATAGCCCTCATTCTAACATTAGCATTTCAGCTAAATTAAGCATATTAGCTATTTTTTTATACATTATCTATATTTAGCTTACTTTGTGGAGTTAGCTGACTTTCCATGATAGTGATATACTGACAGCAGTTAAGTTAACCTTAGCATGTTAGCTAATTTTAGCATATACACTAATGTTTGCACATTGAAGGAAGCAAGTTAGTGTTGGAGAGCATGCTAGGGATAACATGCATCCACCTGGTAGTATCAACATCCAAGGCGCTCTACATGCCAGTGATAGCTATCATGCTAATGGTAGCCGTAAAGCTCATATAAACATTTGAGTTATTTTTTCATACATCACATGAATGGAGTCCATGTTAGTCAAGATGCTAGTGACACCCCATGCTGCTGACTTCTAGCTAACCTTAGCATTGTTGCTAATTTTCAGCATCAGAACCCTTGATTCAGGTTTGATCGATACACACTTTTTAAGATTTCTTCTGAAATGTTGTAGTCATAGAAGTTATTTAGTGAAGAATTTCACTAAATAACTTCATTTTTTGAAAATTACGGAAAATGCGCGTAATTTTCCGTTATCTCAGTTAAACCTTTTTCAGAAGTATTCATGTCACCTGCGGATATAAAAGCTGTATAGTGGCAACAGACTAGTAGAAAATAAATATCAAAACTGCTGTCCAAGTGCATTTCTGCATAAAACACATCAACTTCTGACCAATCACACAACATTGCACAGAGCTAGCAGCCAGAGCGGGAAGCCATTCACCTCACCTGTGCCTGTTCTCGTCATGTCCTCCCTGTCCGTGAATTATCACCTGCCCTGAGCCGTGCTTCCCCTCTTTGGGCGAGTCAATGTGCGGGATGAGCACGTCCTCCAAGCCCAGGTCGAAGCGCTTGTGCTTGGAGTTGTCTGGGAGGAAAAAGAAGGCCCCGAAGCATAGGGTGATGAAGGCACTGAGAATGAGGAGGAGGATGAACTTCTCCGACAGCCTCAACGTGGCTCTGTGGTGCGTGAAGGAGGAGGCGCCCGGCGACAGAGTGGGTATTCTGCGGCCCGACAGCGGCAGCAGAGCCGGTGTCGTCATAGTTTCTGGGTCGGGTTAAAGAGTCAACTCGGGGACGGGGGCGGGGGGTGGGTGTCGGTTTCCAGGTGCCACAGAGGTGGTGCTGTAGCGGCATGCGTCAGCTGCTGGGCGTTATTATCTCATCCCTGCGTTAGGGTGTCGGGAGGCAAAGAGGGAACAAGGCGCCTCGGCGAAGAAGCGACTGGTCAGGAAGGAACGGGTCATAGTGAATCTGGGGAGAAAAAACAGGTGTTACTAATGGTGTCCATTTACAAAACCAGATGCAGGAGCAGATCTGCTGGCACTCCTGATAAGAGGTAATTAGCTTTTTTTTTTATTGCAGCAGGATAACTGAAATAAATGTGAAAACTGCAACGTTCCATTTGAGAACATTTATCCAATAAATAACAGAAGGGCACCATTGTTGGTCATCTGAAAAACAGCTTTTAGAATTCAATTCAAAAACACTTTATTCACTCCAAAGGAAAATGAAATGTCATAACTCATATCATCCAAGTATCTCTGTAGATAGGAATGGTGTGAGGAGGAGAGCATCTCTGGTAGCAGTCAGTCCGTTAATGAATTAGAAGGCTGCTGCTGTGTGACAGTCTCATGACTGCAAACACTGCTAATCCACCTCATTTGCTTGTGCCGCACCTCTTTAGATCTCCGTCTGGTGGCCGGGCAGAGAGGTGTTGGAGTTGTCATCCTTTCCTGTTCTATTACAACAGCCGGAAGAGATGGTTTGAATATAACTGCACTACGGCTGAAACAATTAATAGTGATCAATCGACTAAATTATGCAGCTGTCAACTAATTTAGCAATTGATTAATCTTTAACTGGAGTATGCAGACTCAAAAAAAAAAGTCCAGTTAGTGAGAGAACAACATACTCACATGAGTGATTAACCCAAAACTGTAAAAAATATATATACATATATATGTAGATGCATCTTTTATTACAAATGATCAACTATACGCTGAAGAAATTTTATTAAATTTTAGGCATTAAAATGTTTGGGTTTTTTTTTCCATCCATACTGCCTTCAACTGAACCTCGACGCGGATCGCTGCTCGCATCCAAAATGATCAGTGGCCCACGATCTTTGATCCACTGTCAAAAGTGCAACTTGAAAATGAGTCGACCTAAACGAGGGTTTTAAATTTTCATCATTCCCTTCCCAATCGAACAGTCTGACAAAATACCCTGGTGTGAAACGGCGTCTGTTTGGCAACAGACGACCCAGGTGGTTTAGGTAGGAATCAGAAAGAAAACTGTGTAGAAAAGCACTTTGTGTTCTTCACGAAGTACCTGCGGCAACAAAATTCCGCTAAGCTCTTTAATAGTTCATTAATGACCTACAAAACAGAGAAGCGCAGGACACACAGACCTTCTCCAAAAACCGTAACAGAACCCAAAACCAGTGAAAGGAGCTGAACAGAAAATGGTGAAAAACCCCTCTCTTAATATGTATCTCAAGATCGAGTGCTGCGCCTTTCCAAACAGAAATTACACAAAGTACTAAGAGCATAAGTGCCAACAATTGTGCCACAGATTTTTAGATATTTTCTCAATGATATTTTCGCATTTATAGGCTTCATTCGGTTATTCCACAACTTTTCCAGGGAACTATCGGCATCATACGGCGACACGCAGACAGAACGACCTGCTCAGAGTTTTAACACTTCAAAATTACAGAAACACACCATGAAAAGTCAAGAAAAATCCACCCTTATCAGATGAAACGGCAAAATAGTAAGCAATCCTTTCCTGTGCCGTTTTGTCATATTCCCCTCACACACGCACGCACACACACACAATAATCCTTAATCCTCCAGCAATGAGAAAAATGACAAACATATTTCCAAGAGGCTTAAGGTGTCAGGCTGTGCAACAACTGTGTGATCAACAGTCCTGCACTCTATCGAGCTCTTCTTTTTTTAGTCGATTTTGTTGCACTTTGGCACAGACCGTCATCTCGCCTGTCATTAAATCAGAAATGCAATTAACAGAACTAGGGAATCGGGATCTCCAATCTGCTCGGAGAGAGGAAACAAACGAGTTTGGTTGCAGCATGCATCAAAATGTTCTAAATATTCCCAATAAATGCAACGCAGACGTTTTCACTCTCACGGACCAGAGATTCGTCGAATATCTTCGATTGTGCACTTGGAAAAAATTAGGGAAAAAAAAAAAACATCATCCAAGGCTGTGTCCGATTGTGGTGATGGGTGGGCAAATGGAAATCAAAAGATCAGCCCCATGATTAAAAGACTAAAACACAACCAGCGAAAGTGCTGTTAACACAAACGATTATCCGCAGGCTGTGTTTGCCCGTAGAGCGGGTTTTTGTCAACGTCAGCGTGGAGCAGCGATGTATCGGCGTGTTCACAGGCTGAATACCAAGTTCATTTTGTGACAGTGCCAGCCTGTGATTAGCCTCTATAGAAGCTAACAGCCAGAGAAGCTAACTGCTGCTAGTCCTGGCTAACAGAGGATGTGGGGAGGAATGTTGACTAACGCCAGAGGAAATACATGAATAAAAACAAAAATTAAATATTCCGCTTTTTTACGTATCTTGTTGTGTTAAGTAACCAGCTGGTGGGAGTAAAACCCCGAGTCTTAAAAGCCTGCTGGGGGACGCTCGCTGTGTGGCTAGGCTGCTAATGCTAGCTAGCTGCGAAGCTACGGAGTGACCGAGGCGCCACCTCGGTGTGCCGCATAACCACCTTTCTCGTCCGCTCTGCGAAAAACGAAGCCGTGCGGGATTCCCGGTCCACCTTTTAAACGCTGTCCTCATGTCCACGAAGGCTCCAACGCCGCTGTCGTGACCGGCTGCGGGTTACTGGGGGGTGGGTGGGAGTGGGCAGCCCGGCTCGGAACCACAGAGCAGCGTTCCGGCCAGCCGAGCTACGCCGACGTTGAGGAGGATGTTGACGAGCAGCCGCTCCGCTCTGACGGACCGCAGCGACGGACTGACTGAGCTGCTGCTGCTGCTCCGCGATCCAGCATCAACTACTCAGCCTGCCTCCTCCGGTTAGGGACCGTCTGACTAAAACGAGGCTGGCACAGTCACAGAGAGACCACAGGGCTCCGTGATGTGCAGAAAATGAAGCAGTGACCTTCCACCATGTGCAAACTCTAAACATTCACAAGACAAATATATCCCGTTTGAGGAGCCGTGCTTTATTTAGCGGTAAGTAATTAGAGCTGAATGTAATGTACCCCAGGAAAACACAATTAAGGCGCAGCAGAATCAGTGCCGCCATTACCTGATAAGGGGACATGCTCGTGGATTGTTTATTGCTGCAGGCCAAATATGATTTTAATGTTGCTTGTTTGTCTGAGATAAGCTACTGCGAAATTCACTTTAATAAAATGGAAAGTAATTGCACTGCTGGTGAAGTTGTCACAGTGTGGGTGTGCTGTACATTTGTGCCTGTACTGTGGGTCTACTTGTCTTTCCGAGCGTGTTTGCTTTGGGGCGGTAGCCCAGGGCAGTGATATTCGAGGGGCGACATTTTGTTTATTTATTTTTACGTACGGCGAACGTTTTGCAAACATTACACCTTATAATAAATAGATGGTGTTTTTAGAAATAAATATAACAAAATTATCTAAAAATAAATAATTTAAATATTGTTTAAATAGTAAGTATTTAAATAATAATTAAAATTGATTAAAATTAATAAATATAAATACACTTAGCTTATTTAAATACATAAATTTAAATATTTAGATTTATGATTTTAAATATTTCATGAATTTAAATTCATTAAATATATTTAAATTATACATTGTTATATTTAGTATAATATTTATTTAATATATGATGCTGTTTTAAAGCAACCATCCATCAATTTATACTGTGTAATGTTTAGATCTGTGTCTGTGATCTGTAATTTGAATGAATAAATATATATGTTTTGTATTTTGTTTTGATAGGGTACCAAAACTGACCCAAGCCCATGGGCACTTATTCTTCTTTATGCGGCTCTGGATGCATCTGAAAATGATGTTCAGATTCAGTTAAATTCAAAAATACTTTGTTTATACCAAAGGGAAGCTAAACTCGAGTCATTCTGGCGGGTAAAATCTCTGGTAGCAGTCATGCAGCGACTCTGAAGAGGCCTCTGACTGAAGACTGTTGCTGTTAACCAGTCTGACGACAGTTGAATTTTCGTTAGCATTTCCTGGATGACGTCATCAGTTGTTGGCAAGCACCGCTAATCCAACTCCTTTGCTTTTGCCACTCCGCTTTAAATCTCCGTCTGGCCGTATGGTTAGAAATTCGGGCAGAGTTGCAGACATGACTCTAGACCAGAAATAAAGATTTGCATAAACAAACATGTGAATTAGACCAACATGTCCTGGATTTTAATTTCCTCTCTAAAAACAAATCTGTTGCAATTTCCTATGACCTGACAAGTCACCTGCGACCAGGATCTATTAAATCACATTTACAAACTTTGATGAATGGATGGCTGTTTTCCTTCCATGCGTAAAATCGTTTCAAAACTGATTTTTGGACGACTGCCGTTTCCAAACTGTTGCTCCTCCTCAAAACAAAATGGCGTCAAGCTATAGATTGTGTCACACACAAATCTGAGCAAACAAACAAAACAGATCCGTTGTCTTTAGTGGTCCATTCGTCTTGTGCAGGAGGATCGGCGTCAGCAGCAACCCTGCGGCAAATTGCCGCGTTGCATTTAAATAGATTTTCTGTGTTCTCAGAATCCCTCAAAACGGCAAACCATAAAACAAAAGTCTCTGTGGTAATCACGAGGCTCATCACTCGGCTTCATCAATAGCCTCTTAAAAGGAAAAGAGAGAGTGCATGCTGTTTACTTTGTTTCTTTACTTCATCTGTTGAGGTCCGCACAGCAACATCTTCATTAACAAGAAAGCGGCGCAAACATTTTTCACTAGCGAGCTTAATTTTCCAATTGTACAAATCCCTAACAAATAGAAAGCCGCCTTACTGGTATAGAAAATAAAAAAATAAAAAAAGAAAAGAATCGAAATGGCTGGGGAAAGTAATGTAATTAAGCTATATGCATTCTTCCTGCAAACTGAACCTTCTGGATCAATACGCTGTGAAGGTTTTGTACTTCAAATTGACAAAACTTGGCAAATTCAGTCTGTTTAATCAAATGTAGTGTGGGTTGAGCAGCCAGGCCAGAAATCGTCTTGCAAAGCAGTCGCCCCACTGAATTTCTTCTTTATTTTTTTCACATTTTGTCCAAACCCTTCTAAACCTTTCAGTGTGTTTTTGAGGGGGTGTTATTTAAAGTGCTAACCTAACAGAAAACAAGATAAAATGGAAGGAAAGTGAGCCATGTTTTGGGCTCTTACAAATAAAAATCTATAACAAGTTTATTCACTTACTGTCAGCATTCATTTAAAAAAATAAATATATTTTTTTTGTGGTCAAGCAGATGTGAAATCAAAATAGAGATATTAATTTTGCATACAGCACATACAATATCCTGAACAGTTTGTACATGATTGACAGCGCTAAGACCCTCCTTCTGGCTGTGACTGGTTGTTTTTGATTGGAGCGGTGCATATATATATATATATATATAATATATATATATATATATATATATATATATATATATATATATCATATATATATATATATATAACTAATAAAGTGAATTATAAAGGATAAATAAAATTATCCTTTAAAAAAAGGTTTGGTTGAGACCAAAACTCCAAACCGAAGACTTTTGTCACCCAGTTTATGGCAGAAAGAGAAAAAAAGACGATAAATCGTGAAAAGAGAAATTATAAGAGTTTGTCTTAACCTATCAGGCAATTAACTGATTTGTTGATTATTGTGACAAGCTTAGTCATAGGACACTCTGGAGGAGCTGCAGAGATATCTAGCTAAAGTGAAATAATCTGTTGCCAACAGGATGACAAATGCATGCCTTAGTTTTCTGAATTCCCCTTGTAAAAAGTGTTGGAAATAATCATTTTTGCATTAAAAAAAACATTTAAAAAGTGCAAGTACTTTTCCAAGGCAGTGTATTGACCCCTATTGTATCCTGTGATTTTTTTTGTGTTTTTGGCAATGAGGGAAGTGTCAGGCGTCACCATTATCTTCAGGAGCGTTTCCACCACTCACCCAGCAGTTTTCAACTTCGCCCTGGCCAAGAGCACAATCCCAGCCAGGAGCTTGGCTTTCGCCACTAAAGAAGGCTGTAATTTGTCAGCAAACTTCAGCAATGACACTTCTTGAGCTGGCTGACATGTGTTGCAACTTGGGTCTGGGCCACAAACCTTGTTGAACCACAAACGTCACGCACCAACAAAGGTGACCATGTTTTGTTCTGCTGCTCTGCTTCTCAGAGCACTTAAGTACCGCTTTCTCAGTCTGTTGGTGGGGGGTGAAGAAGAAAAAGAAAGAGTTCAAGAGGACCACATAAACTTCAAAACCACCCATTCAATTTAAGTATATATACTTTAGATAACAGGTAACCGGAAGCAAAATCGAGTGTTTTGAGCGTGAGGAGTGTGAAGGGAAAATGCAGCCAGTGTAGCACAAATGTGGCCATTTAGAAAAGATTAGCAAACCATTTCACAGTCTAAAAGCTCCTGCAGCAACTTTCACTGATAACGGAGCAAAATGAGAAATTAAAACGATCTGAAGTTCTGCTGCAAAAGCAGCACCTTGAGGTTATTCATGCCGCACTGCAAATGAACTTTCCCTGCAAAATTCAAACAGAGCTCACAAAGGCGGGGTTAAATGTCAAACCCTCTCACAGTCTCAGCTCAAACGCTGCAGAAGAGGGAGGCAGATGTCACGGTTGGACCACAGGGACGCAATGGGGGAGTGTCCCGTCAGTTTGTCAGGATCCATTCGAATTGTCCTAGAACTACAGGAGGGTTTTCAATTGAACTTGTCCTCCAATGGGAACTGCAGTCTAAAAGACATTCAACCTATACAACCTAAAACCTCAAATACCTGGTAACACTACATAACATGATAGAAAATGGATAATAAAAAAAACAGACAGCAAAGGTCCTAAGTGTTCCCTGATAGATGGAAATGTTGTTTGAAGGTTTAAAGTTAAACAAACAGCGGCTATGCCAACAATTACCGGGGACGCAGGTGATCACAAACAAAAAGACCCGCAGGAAGACTTGGTAGTTTCAGTTTTCACAGTGCAGCGCGCACTAAACCCTGGAGGGCCAAGCAGGAACACCACTACTCATCTAAATGTGGAAGACAACCAGGCCTACCTAACCTGCCTAAGCTGTCAGGACACGTTAAAAAGAAAATGTAGACAAATCAGCTCTAACTTGTTCCAAGTAAAGAAGAGTTGGAAGTCTGTTCCGTGGAGAGTACAAGCAAACCTGAAGCCTTTGGAGGAGAAACAGAATACCAGATGAGTCCAAGTCTTTTTGGCTTGTTGACCAACATGTCAACCTCAGATACTTTGTCATTCTCAAACTACTCTGTGTGTGTAATGCACCTGCTATCATTCGCATCGTTTGCAATTAGCTCAAATCATACCAGTTTCATTTCGGTTATTGATTTTAACCTTACAGGAAGGAGTAAAAGAAATATTGGCTTTTGAAAGGCAGTGTGGCATTTGAGTGTGCCACATTATTTGAACAACCTGAAATAAACACCAAATATACAGTAAGCAAGTGTGAAATCTGATGTGACAGCAGCCGTCAACAGGAAGACGTTGAGTAACGACTACAAAAACAAAGACGTTTTGTCTGTGAGCGGTAGTTTGAGTTATTCAATGTTAATGGATGGAGAGAATGAACTGCCTATTTTCACAACTCAGTTTGACTTCTGTTTGATGACACTCTTTAAGGAGGCAAATACTTTTTTCACTCCACTGAATGCCTTCAAAAAGGTGGACTGCATTCGTTTTGCTTTGTTTTCAGACGTCTTGTGATGAACGGCGCATTGCCGTCGCCACGCACCAACCTGTGATCTCCTCTGACATCGACAGTGACAGCAGCGCCGTGCCGAGTTTGGCAACATCGGTTCACTGAGTTCATCAGCTCGTCCTCAACTTCGCCACCCGATGGGGGATAGCAGGGTTTACAAGTCAACCCCGCCGGGAGTGAATTAGAGGTTTGTAGCGAGGGGCTACCACAACGAGTCGCACTCTGTGCCCTAATATTGCCGCTGAGATCTGATATATCACTGACCGTGTTCAGAAAGAGCTGAGCGGTCACAAAAAGGCCGACGGTTTCCGAGTCAGAGACGAGCTTCAGTGAGGGACGGGAGGGTGTCCTTCACGTCAACGCATCTTTATTCATCACAGTCAGAGGGATGGATTTCTGGACTGTGAATAATTTATCACACATTTCACCCACCACAGACGCAGCAAAGAGAGAGAGAGAAAAAAAAACTAAACACGGCGTCTTCTTTGTGATAAATAGGGAGGCCAAGCTGAGAAAAATACCACAGAAGTATGACCAAAGACGAAGATGCTGTGAAAGGAACCAACTGTGATCAACTCTTAACTCTGAAGTCTAAAGATGGTGGAGTATGACAGTTTTTTTCTCCCCCTTTGACTGAAGTCCTGCACCTGTGGGAGTCCGCCTGTCAGAGCTCAGCCAAGATCCACTCTGACCCCAGCCTCTGGTGCACAGGAAGTGTGCGTCCGAGGCTTTAATCCCACGCTCCAGCGCTGACAGCTGCATACATTGCTGCGAGGGAACTCTGCTGCAACGCTCCAGTTAATGGTGCGATGCGCGGACTCCGACTCCGTAAAGAGGAGAGGGACTGAGAGCATCGATGCTTTTTACCGAAGCAGAGCGTGAATATTTCTAAAGAAATTTTCGCATTTTTGTCCTGCTATGGCCACATAGCAGGACAAAAAGTGTGTTTTGTTGAAGCGTTATGAGACAGACCAAAGTCAAATGCAAAAATTTTAATTTTTTTTTTACACTTTTACAAAGAAAAATCTGAAAAGTGCGGCATGAATCTACTTTTAAACCCAGCGGTAGTGGCTTGTAGAATCCCCGTTGTTGCTAAGAGATTTGGGGTATCTCTTAGCTTGCCTATCTAGACTTTGCGAAATCTTACCCGTTTTATTTGGTACGTGTAAAATTTCTTGGTCGGATTGGAATGGATTTGGATTAAATAATCCAATTGCATCTTTTTTTTATGGCCACAAAGTGAATCAATCCGATCATGACGTGTATTTTCATGCAGAATAGGCAAAGAGTTGAAAAATATCCCTGTAAAAACACAGAAGTTGTTCTTCTGCACTGAACATAAAAGCAAAAATGCATTAATTTGCTCATTGTGAGTCTTCTTAGAACCCAGAATGAACCTGTTGATCAATCGGCATAAACCACCCCTTTGATTACAAGTTCATTCTGATTGAGCTGAATTACTTTTATCAAAACATATTAAAATGTGCTTCTCGCCACATTGAAGGACAATGTTCAGAAATTGAGCACATCTCCAGGCCTCCAGGAAGTTTGTGACCATTTTAGCAGCTTCATTTTACAAAAAAAACAACAACAAAAAATCTCTCCCTAATCCAACAAGTGTATGTAATTTATACGAACTGAAAAAGCAAGACTGAAACAGTGTCTGCATGCATTGCATGCTTTGCAACAAGCAGCAGGAGTAACCAGATTTCTCGCCTCCACAGCTCCGGGTTGAGCGGACTCAAACTTTAGCATCAACTATCAACTTTTCATACCCTTCTAGGAAGCTCATCAATTTTTAATTGTGAGAGAGACTCACAGCGTTCACTCAAAGCAGGCAATAAAAGTACATAACTCAAGGTTGCATTTGTAATTCTGTTTTCTCGCTGTCTGGCGGCGAAATGAACAAATCGTTCATGCGGGGACAAACGTTTCCTTTCGTGGGTTCAGGAAGAAGGCTAATAATCTCGCTATGACTCAGGAACCTGAACATGCCATGTGTCTTGTGTATCCCTGATCAATACCCGTTTGATCTGCGGCTCATCGATTAGTCGAGCTGATTAGGTGCTCATTACCCCACCGCAGTCCGTTTTGATTTTCAGTCCAATTAAAACCGACTCCCCACTGCTGCTGTCTTTTGACCGTGAAACTGGCTTCATCCTGTGATCGATGGTTTTCTTTGCACCAGAGTTCGACGAGAAACCATCTTGTCCAAAAGAGTGGATCTTGTGGATTAGCATTCAGAAACATTTCCGAGTTTCCCCCAAAGGTTTGCCATTGGTCAAATTTCTAACACGTTTACGGCTGTTTCACGATGTACTGGCCTATCAGTTCGCTGCACACCATCATCGACTCTTGCTTACTCCTGAGAAGACTTAAAGATCCAACAATGCCAAAAGACAAACGCTCCCAAAGCATTTTTAAAAATGTTGCCCCAACAAAAGCAGTTCTGCGATTGGCTAGTTGAGTTGCAACCCTTTTTGAAGCCACCAAACAGGAAGACGCCCCAGTGTTTTGGCCCAGACGCACCTGAATTAAAGGGTTAAATGATCTGATTCGGGTATGGTGGACGGTTGTCCTCACGGTTTGGCGTTTTACATCCCTGCTTTAATCTGACCAAAAATATTAGCAGTGTTTCTCAAATTTAGCTTTTTGAAAATATGGTTACTTTTGGGAGAAAACACAAGAAAGCATTTCATTTTATTAATCAGGATTTACACAAGAGGTCCTGACATTTTCTGAGAAAATAATATACAAACATCCATATTTAGTCTGAATGAGTCATTTTTAAAGTTTTATTGGGGAAGTGGAAATGAAGAAAACACTGCGGCTGACTGCAGCTGATTTTGTTCTTGATTACCTCTGCAAGCAAATTTCCACTTGTCTTTTCATTATATTTTTGAACCTTTTTAAAAAAAATTTAATCACACCAGTGGGGCGTCTTTTTCGCTACATAGTGGAACAGATGTAGAGGAGGTAGACGTGAGATTGTCTCTCAAAATGTAAATTTTGGGTTATTTAACGACGACACAATGTAAAATAACAGAAATTGTGTTTAAGGTATTCCCATAGTCCTCCCAAGTTTACATACGATGAGTGAAGCCAGTTTTAGTCAAACAACTACTTTTGAAATTGTGACAGCAGAAATTGTCAGCGCCGGTATTTTCAACCCCACCCTACCTGGAAGATCAGAAAATGAGAAAACTAAAAGTTCTCCTCAGAACTGAAATGCGTTGCTGTTCTTTTTGCTGGCTCGTCTTATGTGCAACCCGGCTGATCGCCGCCTTTTAAAAACACTTGATCTCCAATTAGGAAACTGAGCTCATCGTGTTGCTCCATCAGCAGGGTCCCAGTGAACTTAGACTCCGGTAACTTCATAAAAAGAGGCTTTATTGGCTTTTACCAACTGCTCTTGTTTCCAGAGGGAGCTGGTTAGCTCCATTTAGAGCTCTTTAACTACATTACTGTCACGACCGTGGCCTGGCCTCTTTGTTTGTAATCTGGTTACACAGTGTTCGACCTGAATGACCTGCAGTCACTGAGTGTGAAGCCTTTTTGTTACACACAGACATGCACATATGTAAGCAGAGCCACACACAGTGCCTCGCAGTAGTTGCAATAGCCCTTCAACTTTTCAAGGGCTTGTCAGGGGACAGTGACATTTGCCACAAACATCACTGTAATTGGGTTTTTTTTTCATTTATTTATTTATTTATTTTTTGAATAAAGAAATCTTTACACGCTGAAAATACAGATTCCCTTCGGTTGCACCTGAAGGTGAACCTCCGCCCCAGCCTCAAGTCTTATTCTTCGACCAGCTTTTCCAGGTGGCGTTTCAGGTGACCTTCATCAGACAGCGTGTGTGACGGCGTGTTTGCATATACGTGACAAAGACGGAAGTCGGCACGGTCCCTTTTGCATCCCAGAGATGAAGTGCCTCTTGGAGAGGGATGTCAGCTGCTGTCACAACACTGGATTAGAAGTGACATGATGCTGAAGGATGTGACCTACATTGCTGTCATCAGTGTGAGGGTTTTTTTGGTTTTTTTTTTTTCTTTGGGGGGTAAAAAAAAACACATCAGGTTGCTGTTCCCATTTTACAATAAAGTTGTGTTATTCAGATTTATGTCAGAGACATTCCAAAACTAAGCATAAATCCACAGAATTATGACATAGTTTGATTCACCAAAAAGACATTTTACCTACTTTTGAGACAATTTAATATTAAAAAAGTACAAAAAAGGTGACATTTGCGATGAGAATGCTGCAGATGTTTCCTTGTAACATGTTGGTTTTCATTCTCACTGGGCAACTTAGCTGCTGACAGCATCCAAACTTTCAGGAGCTCTCACTATGTCTGGATAATCTGAACAAGCAAACCATGAAAACATAAAGGGCTCTAAAGATTAAAGATTAAACAGAAGAAGAGGCATGTCTCAGCTGTGAGAATGCGTTGCATCACGATCTCTGACTCGCTCAATTGCAAGGTACATTACTTTAGAGCTCTATGATGGGTGAAGGCGGTTTATGAGGTTCAACAAAAGCCTCTGTGGTGTGCACGCGTGTACCTGTGTGTGTCCTTTTAAATTAAGTCATTGGAAAGAAAAAAAAACTACAGAAAAAGAAAAAAGGGAGTGTGACAAAGCCACTCTTTAAGCCATTCCATCATCTCAAATCCACACCTGTCTCCATCTAATGGGAATAAGACCAGAGGGTGTGTGTGTGTGTGTGTGTGTGTGTGTGTGTGCGTGCGTGTGTGTGTGTGTGTGTGTGTGTGTGTGTGTGTGTGTGTGTGTGTGAGCCTGCACTGACCTTTCATTTTCAGCTCTAACCACTCTTCACAATCATCAGGAAATAACTCACATTTCCAATCTGCAGGAAGGAATCTGCTCCTGTTAAGGAGGCAGCACAATTACTCAGTGTCGTCTTCAAGCAGCTCTACAATGGCTTTCAGGTCCTGCACTGATCAAATATTCATCAAGACTCAAACTGGCTACGACATGCTTGGAAAAGCTGTAAAACGAGAGTTCTGAATTATTTGTGAAAAGCCACACAGCTACTGCAGTTTATCATTAGGAGGAAAAGTAACTTTCTCCTGCCCCCTACTGGGCTTTTAAGGTTACTACTATCTGGTATGATGAGTATGCGGTCAGTGGCTGTCCACCGGTAGGTTTTCTCCAGATTTATCTTGCGACATGTAGCTTTGCTTTGTAAATGTCGCTGCATATTTCTCAACATAATTGCCACAAGAAATTTTATCACTCCAGACCTACTTTCATGCTCGTGTGTGAGCATGAAAGTAGTTCTTCGCATCGAAGCAAAGCTTGCAATAAATCAATGAGTGGATTTCTCCAGCTGAACAGAAACAAAACTGAAGTTGTCGTCTTTGGAGAGGAGCGATCTAGAATAAACACGCAGCTTTAGCTGTGACACTAAGGAACCGTTGATCAGGCCTGAAGTCTGAGTGCAGTGAAGAACTCAGACCTGAACATTCAGAGACACATAAAGACAGTTACAAACTCGGCCTTTTATTGCCTGAGGAACATCTCTAGAATTAAAGGACTAATGTCGCAACAAGATCTAGAGAAACTAATTGATGTGTTTTTTCTTTAGTTGCATTGATTGCTGCAGCAGTGTCTATAAGTCTTGCTTAAAAAAATGAATCCTGATCCAGAATGCTGCTGGTTTTCTCACTAAAACCAGGAAGTAGCTCAGAGAAAAGACTTTAAGATATTGTACCATACAGTGCAGCCATCACTTGGAACGGCTTAGCACCACAATACATTAAAGATCTGCTGCTATTGTCAGTCAATAGCAGCAGATTCAGTCAAATTTTATTTGTGCAGCACATTTCAGCAACAAGGCAGCTCAAAGTGCTTTACATTATGAAAAGACAAATCAACAATTGAAACATTACATTTTTTTCAAGTGCCATCATTTACACATCAAAATATTGCTTAATGTGTCGTTAACTATGGTACAAAAGCAACTCTAAGCAGGTGGGTTTTTAGTCTAGATTTTAAAGGAGCTCAGTGTCTCGGCTGTTTTGTTATTTTCACGTCAGCCTTCCAGACCACTCAGGTATTCTGGTTCTGACCTGCTCTACAACCCCAGGAGCAAACCTGGAGAAGCAGCATTCATGTTTTATGATCCTCTCATCTGAAAAGGACAAAAACAAAAAAAATACACCGAGTTCCTTCAAACCAAGGCTAGAAACCTACTGGTTTAGATGCCTTTGATTCATAATACCTGAAACATTGATCAACGTATCAGATGTTTGATTTTGATAATGGCATTTGACAAAATGTACTGTTTATGTCTTGTTTTATGATGACTTACTATACTATAGCACTTTGATAAGCTTATCAATAAGCTTATTATTTTGAATAATAATCTTATTATTGATAATAATAAACTTATTGTCTATTTGTCAAGTTATTAGACAAACAACATGTCAAATAACTTGACATGCTATATGTGTAGCATGTCACAAACAACATGTGACATGCTACACAATAACACAAGTTATTTGTACTGTGCAAATAAAGTTGACATGTTGAATTTGTTAATGCTCTTTGTTGTCCAATAAAAATGTACTTGATTTCTGATGCAATAACATTGTTGTGGTTATTTTGTTTAATTAGCTGCTTTGGGATTTTGTGTTATTCACACAGGTGCTGTACAAATAAAATTTTATTGTGATTAAAAAAAACACACACACAAAAAGAAAGCTTTAATTACAATTAGATCTAAATATAAAAACAAGGAAAGAGAATGAGAAAATTAAACAATTAATTAATCTTGGCTTTTAATGTCTGACAGGCTGACATAGCTATCTGGAGCCTGGCCAATAAAGAAAACAAAAGAAAAGAGTACAAAAGGAGAGAGCAAAGAAAAGGAAACAAAAACAAAAGCAAAACCTCACTGGGGCAATTTGTTTTTGCAGCCAGCGAAAACAAAATTGAAGAAAAATATAATTGCAATTCATACTTCCATTTTTACGGGGTGACAAAGTAAATAACAAAAACAAGGACTTAATTGTTAAGTCAGAGTTTAGGGTAGAGTTCTCAATTAACATGATATGTGTGATTTTGGAGGGCGAAGGGAAGCCGGAGAACCCGGAGAAAACCCACAAGGTGTGAGGGTGACGGGGGTGTAGTTGGCTGGGACGGGGTTTGGGGTTTGGGTGGGTGGGATGTACGAGTAGTGGTTTATTTTTCATTGTTGGATTTTAGATGCTTGATTTTTTTAAAAAAATGGTTTTTCTTTTTCTTTTTTGTGTGCTTTGTTTTTTTTAAAAGTGTAAGCTGTAAATTATTAACAGGTTTAAGAGACTGATGTTGACATTTGTTGGTGTGGCACATGAAATTTTAAACAATGTGGGTTGTTTTCAGCGTGACTGTCAGGGTGACGTCGCTGTGATCACTGCTATTCCTGCACTGGTCTAACCTTATTTTTCTTCTTAAACCAAAAATTCCAGTATTTTTTAAATAGAAAAGAAAATTTCACACCTTCCTCTTTGCATCGGGAGCAACAGCTTTTGGTGGAACCGGCTTCACTGGGGATGGCCAGGAATTTTGCTGCTCCACCTGTGGAATGTGCAGATTGCATTTCTGGGCCTTTAAAGATGGATTCTACATTCGTAACGAGTGTGTTTGTTATGGTGTCTATTTTTGTTGTGTCTGGGATGTATTCTGTGGGGTTTTTGGCGATGAAATCAAAGACCCCCATAATGGTAGTAATAACCGATTGTTTTAAGTCAGCCAGATGCTCTGATGGTATCAATGCTAATTTTTTCTGGACGTCCAATTTCATTTGAGTGTGCTTCTCATCGGTATGCTCGCTTGATGATGTGGCAGAAACCTCTGACTCAACCAGCCCTTCATTTTCTGCCTCCTTGATTAACCCTGTATAGAAAGAACTGAGGTCCAATCGTGTTGCATCCGACACGTCATTCAGGTCTTGACCAGATGAGTCCAGATGTAGATCTTGGATTTTGGACACTATCAGGTCACACGCAGTGTGAGTGAATTCAGAGGAGTCCATTGAAGACATGTACCTCGCCACCTTCCTCATGCATGCAATGCGATCCAAGGGTTCTGATTTGGAATGAGTCCCTGAAGCTTCTTCCTGTGCCGTGGTTTCATGTGTTGTAACCAAATCTTTCACAGTTGATTCCTTTTCAAGACTTTCTGTTAATTTGGAAGACGGCTTAGGAGATGCGTCAGAGAGACGTGTTTCAGGTTTCACCGACTTACATTTCCTTTTTCCACTTACAGGGGTTTGCTTTACATGGACAAAGGAGATTTTGGTGGAAACACATGGTGATTTTGGGGATTTTGCCCCGGAGTCAGTCTGAAACGATGGCTCAGAAATGTCGTATTCAATGCTTTTGTCAATTCTATGCTTATCTAAGCTCTTCTCTCCTCTCTCTTGGGTCTTTTGTTGTAATTTTGGTTTTGTTATGTTCTTAAAAGCAGATTTTAGCTTTTCATAGAAAGTATGGTATATTTTGCGTTCAGACTTTTGGTCTTCGCTGGGTATCTGTTTCTCATTGATGTTAATGACTGTCGATACTGAAAAGCTTCCTGATGACACGGACGATTTCGTCAGAGTCGGGCTCCTCACCGTTGTTCCAATATCTTTACCTGCAAGTTCTTTGAATTCAGATTGAGTCTCTAATGGCGTTATCTGTTCTGCGGTTTCAAACGTTGACTCAATTTTTATAATCAAATCGGTGTCAGTGGATTCCACTTCAACACTTTCTGTTATTTTGGGAAACGTTTTGGGATATACCTCAGAGGACCGTGTTTCAGTCTTCTCTGATTTATATTCCTCTTTTCCAACCTCAGTGTGACTCCTCGAAGTCATTGCAACAGGAATATCCACAGGTTCTTTGGCTTCATCAAGAGTCTCTAATGGTTCAACCTGTTCTTTGGATTCATCAAGAGTCTCTAATGGTTCAACCTGTTCTTTGGATTCATCAAGAGTCTCTAGTGTTTCAACTTGTTCTTTGGATTCATCGTGAGTCTCTAATGGTTCAACCTGTTCTTTGGATTCATCGTGAGTCTCTAATGGTTCAACCTGTTCTTTGGATTCATCGTGAGTCTCTAATGGTTCAACTTGTTCTTTGGATTCATCGTGAGTCTCTAACGGTTCAACCTGTTCTTTGGATTCATCGTGAGTCTCTAATGGTTCAACCTGTTCTTTGGATTCATCGTGAGTCTCTAATGGTTCAACTTGTTCTTTGGATTCATCGTGAGTCTCTAATGGTTCAACTTGTTCTTTGGATTCATCGTGAGTCTCTAATGGTTCAACTTGTTCTTTGGATTCATCGTGAGTCTCTAATGGTTCAACCTGTTCTCTGGATTCATCATGGGTCTCGAATGGTTCAACCTGTGCCGTGGTTTCACATGTTGACTCAGTTTGTGGAATCAGATCGGTGACAGTGGATTCCTCTTCAAGACTCTCCACGGATTTGGAAAAAGGTTTAGGATATTCCTCAGAGGGAAGTTCTTCAGTCTTCTCTGATTTATATTCCTCTTTTCCATCCTCAATCTGAGTCCTCAACGTCACTGCAACAGGAATATCCACAGCTTCTTTGGATTCATCATGAGTCTCTGATGGTTCTACCTGTGCCGTGGTTTCACATGTTGACTCAGTTTGTGGAATCAGATCGGTGACAGTGGATTCCTCTTCAAGTCTTTTTGCTACTTTGGGAAGTGGTTTAGGATATTCCTCAGAGGCTTTAGTCTTCTCAGACCTACATTCCTCCACTCCACCATCAGTGATTGGCTTTACAAAGGCAGAGCTGGTTCCTGTGCCAATCTGCTCAGACAGTGTTTTAGATGGTGCCCCTAAATATTCCCGAAGAGATGCCTTAGAATCGCTACGCTTGCGCTTTTTGCCAACGTTATCCTCTTCTAAGTGCTTCTCCCCAGTCTGTTGGGTCTTTCTAAATATAGTTTTTTCCGCCAAGCCTCTAAAAGCAGATTTCAACTTTTCCAAGAAGGTTTTGGTTTTTTTGCGTTCAGACTTATGGTCTGAAGCCCTGCCTTGTGACACACCTTCTTTCTTGAGAGTTTGACGTTTCGATGTTGTTGCAACGGGTTGATCCTTATACTTTTTAGATTCAGAGAGACGCTCTAATGCTGCTACCCGAGCCGTTGCCTCAGTTTTTGTAGTCGAGTCTTTGACAGCAGATTCTTTTTTGAGACTTTCTAATTTGGAAAAAGGTTTAGAAGACGCATCAGAGGATAGTGCTGCACTCTCCTCTGACTTACATTCCTCCTTACCGCCCTCAGTAATCGGCTCTACAAAGACAGAGGTAGTGATATCGGCGGAAGCAGTCGATGGTGAGGGAGATGGTATCTGGGTATCTGGGAACTCCTCATCCTCACTTTCACTGGAGGTGTGAACATCATGATCGGCTCGTTGGGTTTCCCTGCGTGACTTGCGTTTTCTGAAACCACTTACAGCAGGTTTCAGCCTTCCAGAGCTGGGTTTGGACTCTTCGACATCAAACTCCTGATCTTCTGAGGAGTCTACATCGATAATGTCTATCTCTGTGCTTGACATAGATTCTCTAGAGAACAGCTCTGGATGGCCAGACAACGCAAAGTAGGACGTCGTTCCAAGAGATGGCTGCTCATGTTCGATGGAATCGGCGTAAGAAGATTCCTTCTGTGATTTGGTTTCTTCTGCAGACTCTTTGGGTCTTCTGCTATGTATGTCAGGGGACTTCTCTTGAAGACTAAAGGGTCGATCAGTGTAAAGTGCTTCAGACTCCTCCGACTTATGTTTCTCTTTCCCACCCTCAGTGAAAGGCTCGTCAAAGACAGGGGAGGCTTCTGTGGAAGAAGCTGATGCTGTTAAAGATACAGGGTGGGTACCTGACCAAGAAGATAATTCATCACTTCTGCTGTCAACAATATGATCATCTAAGTGTTTCTTCGTCATCTGCGGGGTCTTCACATGTGGTTTTTTCCTTCTTAAACGCCCAAAAACAGCTTTCAGCTTTTGAAAGAAGGTTTTGGATTTTTTTAGTTCTTTTTTCTGCTCTTCACTGAGTCTATGTGTGTCAATGAGGTTAAGCTCTGTAGATGAAGAATCGGGTTTTTCAGTCAAATAGCTCACAGATGCTTTCTCGTCAATTCCTTCAGAGGCCAGAGTTCTTCTCGATCGCTCATATTCTGCTTTCACTAAGGCCCGTCGATGTGCAAAAAACTGTTTCAAGTAGGCTGTCACCTTTTGCTCAAAATAACCAGCTCCCATCCTTTCTTTTTCTCTCCATTTCGAACACAAGTGCAGTAGTTCATTAACGTCGCTCTCAACTTGAACGAATGTAGCTAAGATCAGCTTCTCAACAGTCGGCAAATTTGTACAAGAACAAGTTATGGCACTTCTGGAAGAGGGATCTTTTTTCTTTGACTTTGTCGGAAGCACGTTCTGCTGCTTTGTCTTAGTCATCTTCAAAGTATTTTTTGTGATTTATAGTAAATACGTTCCAGTCTCGTCGTACACGAAATTCTCAAAACGATAGATTACGTGTTCTTCAATTGACGAAACGTGCCTACAAAAGTGCCTTTGATGTCAAAAAAAGTTTGACATCAAACGTTCTCGTATGTATGTACTGTGATGTCATGTGCTTTGAAGCAGTGTGATGTCAGAAAGCTGTGAACAAGCCCCGCCCCTGCACTGTAAAAAAGGAACCTCAGGGGTTATCACATTAACAAAAGAATATCATGTACTGTTAACTAAATAATTGCATGTTTGAGCCAAAAACATGATACAATCATGTTGCATAAACAAGATATTCCACAACTTCAACGTTTATAAAATTGAATCATGTTGAGCAAACATGATTCATTATAGTCAGACCGATCCTATGCTGAAGACCACGAGTGAGATCACGCGATATCACGCAAGTTCACGCAAGATTACGGGAAATCACGGGATATCACGCGAGAATACGCGAGACAATCGTTTTTTTCTCGCAAATGGAATAAAATGTATTCAAGGTGAGATAACGTGATTCAATTACGTCAGCTAGAGCTTCCGCCAAAAAAAAAAAGAACGTCGGGGCGTATTACATTAACAAAAAAATATCATGTACCTTTCACACAATAATGTTGGGTTTGAAGCGAAAACGTGATAAAATCATGTTGGATAAACAAGATATTCCACGACTTCACATTTATAAAACTGAATCATGTTGAGCTAACATGATTCATTATAGTTAGACTGATATTGTGCTGACGACAACGAGTGAGATCACGGGATATCACGCGAGAACACGCGAGACAATCGGTTTTTTCTCTCAACTGAACTAACGTGATTGAATGACGTTATCTCAACTTGAATACATCTAATTCCTCAAGCTCCCAGGCCTCTACCAGAGGCCTGGGAGCTTGAGGGTCCTGCGCAGTATCTTGGCTGTGCCAAGATATATATATATATATATATATATATATATATATATATATATATATATATATATATATATATATATTATATATATATATATATATTATATATATATATATATATATATATATATATGTTTTTTTTTTTTTATTCAATATCAATATTTGTCAAAGTTAATCTAATAAAAAAAAAACAGTGACGTCAGTTCCAAAGCGCTATTGTGTCAGACTCATCTCCCGCTGAAGAGGATCCAGCGACATCAAGAGATTACGGAAAATCACGCGAGATAACTGGCTTGCACCTTGTTGGGTTTTTTCAAGGGCAGAGGGGAGATTCCTGGCGTGCATCTACTTAATTTGAAGAAGGTAAGAGTCAAACTATTTTCATCTAAATCCATATAAAAATATGTAACTTAAAATTTCTCTACCATTTGCACCATTTTCTACTTGTTCCATACTTGTGTCACATTATTTCATGTTCTGTAGATTAAGTCGGTTAGGTTAAGGCAGATAGCTTTTTGTTTACATTTATCGCCGCACCATGTTAGGTACATTCTGTGCGAAAAAACTCTGCAGAGCCATATGTAGTGTAAGGGTCACAAAGCTGCTGCCAGAGACACAAATGGACCCCAGAAATGTCACAGTTTTGCTCCTCCTGAGCTCCCTGGAGGTTTAGTGGATTTTTAACACACTGATCTAACATCAGTCTATTTCTAACTATTTTAATTCTATTTCAGTAATGTTACTATGGAGGTAAATGTAGATACACACACACACTTTGGTACCTTTCTATCATCATCGAGATTCTTAATTAATTATGGTAATAAAAAGTCCTACATTTCAGTCGGTGAAACCTGCAGAAAGCATTGCTTTCTGAGCTTTGTTAAATGTTCCTAAAATACCTGTTAGTTATGGATTTCTAGTATATTTTGTCAGGCTAAAACTCTCAATGGATTTATCCATTATTACAGACTTGAGCTTTCTATTTTTTTTCTTTAAAATACATATTCCTCTGCTGTAAAGATGTTGGGGTTTTTTGGACTCTTCTTTGTTGTCCCCAAATAATTGTAGCTCAGAAACAATATTGAAGTTCATTGGTTTAATTTTGAAATGTTGATGTTTTTTGTGTTGATTGTTTGTGCTCATTTTGACCTATGTTACTATTGCTTTCTACCATGTTCAATTCACCATTGTTCTGCACATATGTGCTTGCATACAAGTGTCCAGTGGTTATATTCATGAGGCATTCAAGGGACTTGTACTAAAAGATACAACTCAGTTCAGTATGAATTGCATATTTTAATGGCTGAAAATATATCTGATCTCTTTCAGAACATCACCTGTCTGTAATCCACCGGCGTAAGTACTGGTCAAGGGGCTCATCGGCTATCAAGTTATAGATTTCAGTGGCTAATAGTAAGTTTTGCCAGATCTAAAGTGACTGAATGTAGTGTTAGAGAGCTTATAGAGCTAGAGTTCAGCTAAACATTTATTTGGCCAGTCTGTTTTATTTGTCTTTATTTGCGTGGGGATGTGGAAATGTAAGGAGTGTAGTCTCTCTCTGTCTCGTAGATATGACCTGTTAAAACATTTTACACTTAAACACCGGCATATGCGACGTTATCCATGCCCCACATAGACTGTCCATGTACTTGTAAGACATGGAATGCTTTGCATATTCATTTAAGTAGAAGGATATAGACTGTGTTGACCATTCTGTACTTTTCACATATTTCTTTGATATATTCATGTCTTTATTTAAACCTCTAACAGCTTCAGTTAGATGTTTAAATGAGATGTTAAACTCCATTTTAGTCATGGCATAATGAAGGGATACTAACAATTTTAAATATCTTTCAAATAGACTGCAAGCCACTGATCACTTTTGTTGTGACTTCCTTTGAATGTAGCTATGTTTTCAAGTGTGTGAACCTATACTGCTGGAGTTTTGAGATTGTTCTCATTGTTTTTTGATCTGCATATTTAGGAAGACACTGCTGAGGTCAGACGAGAGTGCATCCTCAAATGTCTGTGTGTACCTAAATGAAGATCCAAAGAAGCTGGTGAGGGAGTACATGGTATGTTAAATTCTCTTTGTGTTTACAATAGAACTCCTAAGAGTTGTTAAAATACTTTCACCAACTAAGGTCCATGAGTGACTCAATCAATGTCAGTCTTAATTTATTTATTTAATTACATGTGAATTGTCTCCCCCCCCAATACCCTTCCCTAACTCCCTTAGGACGTTGATGAATGAAATGGCCAAAGCCGAGACTGTCCTCGGAATCGTCATTTGAGCAGAGGCTGCCGATGCACATCTGGATGTTGGGATTGTCCTGGAGGAGGTGGAAGTTATGAACAGCTTGGGCAGTGTATCTTCTGCAATAGTGATGCTGCTGGGACTAATCTACGCACTAAACTTGAGCTACCCTCAAGTTTAGTGCGTTCAGCACTCAACTTGCTCAGTAACTCAAGCATACCTTTGAAGTAATACAGAAAATAATAATGAAATTGGATGGAAAGAACTTATCAAAGAAAGCACAAGTTCTCAATATGAAACTCGCTGCTAAGTTGAGTAAAGTTTCATATGGAAAATGAGTGTTTAAAGTCTGCAGTAGAAAAGATTTATATTGTTACAGTTCTCTAAGTTGAGCAACTATACTGACATGTTTTATGTTGTAAAGAATTGGCTGGGAAATGAAACTGTAACCTTTTTGTAGTTGTTTTTTTATTTCAATGTCCAACTCAGCTGTGTTTTGTGCTGTGTAAAAAAACGATGTATAACAAAATACAATTGTGTTGTACCTTTTCTAATTGTTGAGTGTTCTTCCTACACTTTCACCTAGTGCTATCTTAAAATGCTTGATTAACGCTTGAAAATATGTCTTTGAATTAACGTCATGAAATAATGGAAAGGATTTTCACACGATTAACTAGCTGTCTTTTAGCATGAAGCATATTTGTTGAGCTAACTTGCTTTTAGTGAGTTGGACCTACTGAATCAGGTAGTGTGAAGGTACCACTGTAAAATAAGGTGGTTTCAACTAGATTTACATTCATCTTAATGAAGTTACATCAATGATTTGGTCCTAAACATTGCAGATTAGTTGGGCGGGCTGTATTGCATTACACTGGGTCACGCTATAGTAACTGAGTTAAAGGAACCTTTAAAACATATGTTGAGCCAACACATTTCATTTGAATTTGAATAACCTTAATGAATGGAGTTGAGCCAACTCATTTGATTTACAATCATCCATTGCCTTACCATAATTCTGGTTAAGCCAACATATTTGGTTTAAATTAGAACAACCTTAATGAATTATGTTTTGCCAACTCATTTTATTTATATAAGAATAACCACAATATATTACGTTGAGCCAACATGTTTGATTTAGAATCACCCATTGAATCACCATTGTAACAAGTGGAGCCAACACATTTGCTTTACATTGGAATAATCTTAATAAATTAGGTTGACCTAACACATTTGCATTAAATAGGAGTAACACAAGTACATGGTGCTGAAATAAAGCAAAGTAATCAGGTGGAAATCCTTTCCATAATTTTTTTATGTTCATCCAATGACTTATTTTTTTCAGTGTGTATATTTGTGTATTTCCTTCAATGAAAACACACATTTGTATGTATATTTTATTTTATTGTGAATACATTCAGTATTTTCTTTGCTATTTGTTGTACTCTCTTATTTATTTACTTTAACTATTTATCTAATTTATATATATATATATATATATATGTATTGCGACAGACTGGCGACCTGTCCAGGGTGACCTCGCCTCTCAACATATATATATATATATATATTCCTTTAATTATTCTTCTTTATTCAAATTGCTTGTTTTACAATTTGAATACATAAATCAGTTGTACATATCTCTGGACCGGAGTACACTATTTTTCATAACATAAGCACAAGGTATTTATGTTGACATGACATGATAGAAAAACGTACAAATGATTCAGTGGGATGGAGATTTCTAGATGCCTGGACGCGACGCAGTAAAACTTCGTCAACATTTGACATGTTTTGAGCTAAATTTTCAAAAAAAAACATTGCTTATGCCGAAGCTTATGAGAAAAGACAAAAACTGTAGAGCATTTTGTATGCCAGTAAATCGGTAATTGTCATCATGTTTCCTGGCATATAATGGGTTTCATCATGCTTCTTCTTCTGCTGCTGTCCTCAGTCACTAGATTTTCCTTTCACTGACACAAACTTCTCTACCTCTTTCCCTCTGTCAACACAGGCAGCCTGTTGATTCATTTGCACGCTGCTGCCACCAAGTGAACAAAGGCTTGCTTCACTATCATGCATTAAAAAAAGACAGCGTAATGAAACACCCTCACTGTCTGACAAGCACTTGGCCCTGGCTCTGGGTTTGGCTAGCTACTGCAGCAGGTTAGCAATATGCTGCAGAATAATGAGGCAACAGGTAATTTCCTCATGTTAGCATGACTGTCCCCTCACTGACTGAGTGTCCAGGGCCGGGAGAAGCGGTTCAGAGGCTGGGTGTCCAGAAACCAATCAGTAGAGAAGAAGGAGCTGGGAGTCATTAATATTCAGTGGTCTTTTTAATGTTTTTTTTTTTTGCTGTGTAGGTATATTATTTTATAATCTTTTAGATTAGAAAATTATATATTTAAACAAAGAAAAAAAATTAGCTAAAGTTGCTTTTTATTTTTTCCTTTATGGCATCCCTGGATTGCTAGATAAGGTTCAGGAAAAGCAGTATTAATGAATACATAACGCAATAAAAAAAATCTTATGAAGTATTTTGAACCGTATTATTTTCATCACGAAAATAACACGAGTTAACAATATTCTTTACAATCAATGTCGAGCCAGACTATGAATGTGATCAAATTTGAAGCACATATCCTTTAAAAATGAAATTAGGTATCATTAAATGATCATGGCTGGAATTGAATTCAAACCTTTTCCATATGGGATAAATGCAGGGAGAGGGCAAAGAGAACATTCAACGTAATAAGTGTTAGTTGTCTTTTTTTTATTTTAAACAAGTGAATCTTTCACATGTGGACAGTAAATTTTTGTAATTATAATGTGAAGTGAAGGGGGGAAGAAAAAGAGTCCCAAAAACAGATGTTTTATGAATTACATTTTCCCCACAGAATACCAATTAAAATAATCTCGTCTCTCATGCTGCCTTTTCAAAACAAGATAAAATAAAAAGAAAAGTCGTTCAGTAGCTTAATGTATGAAATATTCTTGATGTTTTGAGTAAAAACTTCCTCCCCCCTCATTTCCTCTCGGCTTTAATTTAGGCCCAGACCAGATGGATTACAGCGCTGGCTTTTTATATGTTGTGAAACCCTGACAGGATGTAACTCAGTGGTGAGCAGTGACATGCTTTATTCCCCAAATAAACAGAGTCTGAAGTTTTCTCACACAGCTTCATTTGTAACAAATAAATCCTGTGCGGCTGAGCGAGCCATCCGTGTGCACAGCGCAGCCGCCATAAAGCGCAGTAATGTGCGGTCAGGTTTTTAATAGATTCCTGTCATGTTTAAAGCCGCGCCGCGTCCGTGATCACCACGCACAGAGGACACGTTTGATTTAGGCTGCTTCCGCTTCACGAGCCCAAAGGGAGGCGTTCGGGTCCCGGCAGAGACGGTCTGGGATGTGGCAGCAGTTTGGGACGATGCCGACGGTCCCGAAGCCCCCCAGCCGCCTGGCAGTTCCCACCCTGTCCTGGGGAGGGAGACTGTGGATTTATGATAGTGAGGCCTGCTGGAGGTGCTGAGCTGAACCGTTCCCACAAAGCTCAACGGCGGACCCTCAGCAAGGATTTAGGCGCCACATCAGAAACTTCATCCTCCGCCTCGTGTTTACTTCTTGACCGTGGGGCACTGAGCGAACAATGAAATGGAGGCCTTTAAAAACACCCCGTGTTCATGTTTTAATGTCAGTGCCAACAAAAAAAAAACCCAAAAACAAATTAACTCTGTATTTTAAAGGGCTGTAAAACAGAAATGTGGGCAGCAGCTCTTTATTAGGCTGGATTTAATGATGAAGCTGTAAACATCACACCTAGCAAAATTAAAAATTCTTCAGGAAAACGCCCGGTCTACCTCACTTTGAGTCAGGCTCCGGCTTACGGTTGTCATCGTAAACGGAGCTTGAAAGGTGCAGATCGTAACGTAGGCCAGCGTTTTTATCCAGGGTGACGTTTAGCGGAGCAGCGCACCACAGAGGTCACTGCGTGCCGTTCATTCTCAGACGACCGGCTCTCGGGGTCGAGAGACACCTGTCGCAGCTCGAAGGAGGCCTTTGAGAGTTCGGAGAGATTCAAACGCAGCACATTTCAGCTACTTCGTGCACTAACTCTAACAAACTCACCCTGGATTCCTTTTTGAATGTGACTCTTAATTACCTTTAAGCGTTCAACGAAATTAAACGTCCATATGCGTCTTTCCTTTGAATTTCCTCCAATAACCCGTTGTTGTGAGTTTGGGTACTCTATTAAAAGAACTGTGAAGAAAAAAATAAACTCTTCAAATGCAAATCAGTCTTCACTTAGTGACCATTAATATCTGCCGTCTGTTTGGGTTTTAAAAAAGTATTATTAAAAGCGCTTGGAGGAAGTTTTCTGAGGGGAATGAACAGTAAATGAAGGGAAGCTCGATGTTGTGACGTTTGGTCCATTTTCAACAGGAACAGTTCTCTTTCACACTGTCAGAGAAACCAAACCAACCATGTAAATCATCTTAAATTAGTCAACTATGGCTGCAAAAGCTTGATGGCAATTTTGTCCACCAATTGAGGCCGATTGCTTTTTCACAAAGAGCCAGGCTGGCTTAGTTCTTCTTCCTCTAAATAACCGAAATCCGTGTTTCATCAACTGGACTTTAGATTTGCACAAGCATGTCATGCTTTTATGTTTATTCAGCATTTTTATCACAGTAAATGCCAAACATTTACCGCCACCAGTGACAGAAGCATGCAGCCTGTAAGCACAGCCTGACAGAACTGCACAAGGAAACACGTTTTCAACCTGCCTCTCGATCACTAGGTGGCAGCCTCGCTCTTTCCCCCGCAGGCTCCCGTCACCTGCTGCAGGCCCCGGCCCTGGGTGGTGCAGATTTACGAGGCCGGAGGAGGAAACGTTTGCGCTGGCTCCCAGCAGCTTCACTTTCACCCATAAGGACGACCAGCACCTGGATTTTATTTCAGATAAGACCTCTTTGTTATTGCATCCTGCTGGAGTTTTTTGTTGTTGTTGTTTTAACTCGAGACAAACATGCAACTCACGTCACTTCTTGTGTGACCGACCTCATTCTCGTCCGAGACCTGGAGGTGAGAGTTACAGTTTGGAACATCTAATCCCGCTTTTCTAAAAATATGCGTTATTTTAAACGCTTTAATCGCTTCACATTAAGATGGACAGGGGATCAGCCGGTGTTACGGTCCGCATACACATAATACTTATGGGTAGCTCGTATATGCTGACTTGCTCTGTGAGATCTATAGTCAGTGAACGTGATACGAGCTATAAATGTCTGTGAGCTATAGTTGAAATAGATGCTGACGGCAGCGAGTGGCCTCCTTTTACAGCAGCTCTGCTCCCGGCTCAAAAAGTCTGAGCCGCGACTCTTAAACAGCATGACTTGGAAATATCTGGCATTTATGCGCCGCAAAGCGGCCATTTTATGCCTAACATGTTGCGCATGTCGCATGACAATAGAGCCATACTGGATACGTAAGAAAGTGAATGAATAAATGCAAATCTGCAAAACAAAAGTCAGGGGGAAAATGTCCTGGGAGACGAAAGAAAAACGTGCGAGACCACGGACAATTGACTGGCAGCAGGTGAGCGTGTTGAGGTTTGGTATCAACGAATCTTTTCAAGTAAGAAAAGGTCATTAGAGAATTAGCGGTCGGTTCCAAACACACCTTTGCAGACTGGACTCTGACACGAACCTTTGTCAGTGACTCACTTGCGGCTGACTTTGCGTCATTCTGTGACGTTATTCTCTCATCCAAAGCGCGAGTGTCTTTGATTCTTTCACGCATGTCTGAGAAATCCTTGAATCTCCCACGGCAACCATTCGGCCACAAAGCTCCTGCTTGGGAGTTTCAGTCTCTGGCTGAGCTTCCGCCTCACAGAGGTACCTTTACAGCTCAGCTCCTTCAAACTAGTGGCAGCAGCAATTAGCAAAGACCTGGTGGAGCTGTGAAGCTGCTGAGCTCGTCATAGAAACTACATCTCAGTCCAGACGTGACAATGAATGAGCGTTGTTGTGATGACATGCTGAAGGCGGAGAGTCAGAAAGAGTCGGAGCTTCTTAAAGAGACAGAGTCCAATTACAAAGCATCACCTGAGCCGAGACGCGAGGTGGCTGCTCGCTCTCGATGAGGCGCAGTAATGCAACGTGGCTGCTGGAGCGGCAGCAGGAGCGGAGCGAGGGGGGAAAGGGCGGCGGCCGCTGGACGTCCAGGCCGGCCGCTGACTGATGAGGTGACGGCGCGTGCAGCCGGGGCCAACAGAGCCACATAGGAGC